GTATATAAAATTATTTGTTTTGTTTTAATGAAATAAATAAAGAGTTGAATTGAAAAAAAAGTAATTAAAGTAGAAAACCAGAAATTTTGGCTTAAGTTATTAAGGAACCAATTAGCGGGCCGGATTTTGGTCACATGTGGGCTGGCTGTGGCCCGCGGGCCACCAGTTGAAAAGTCCTGATATAATCTTTCTTTGTTTAAATATTGTGAAAAAAAATTGGAATTGAAGCTGTATTATAGAACTGAAAGTGAAAGTAGTCGAACTGAATTTTTAATCCAACTAAATACAGTTTTAAAGCAAATTAATTCAATTTCAAATCAGTGAATTTAATTTCAAATTACGAACAAGTTTATTCTCATCTTCTCTGCTGTCAGACACTCACTCACCTGAGGTGACCCACGTTGTAGAACCTGCTGGCTCCGTCCGTGCTCCGGACCACCTTAAGGCAGAAGGCCGGCTGCAGGTGCCGGACCTCCAGCAGAACCAGAGCCAGGTACTGGATGAAGAGCAGGGCGTCGACCAGCGAGGCAGCGTACTCCACGATCCCCCTGTAGTCCGGCTCCCTGGGCTCCAGCACCCTCACGCCGTAGAACAGCCAGTACGACGCCACGAACAGGAAGACCAGCACCATCAGCAGGCAGCGGAAGACGAAGAAGCGGGGCAGGGTGGCCCGGGGGGGCCGGAAGAACAGCGCCCAGGAGGAGATGAGCAGGACCAGCAGCTTGAAGGCCAGCGACACGTAGAGGCCCTCGCACGGCGTGCCGCAGGGGTTCAGGGCGTCCCGCCACAGGACCTGCGGGAGGATGAGGAAGGCCAGAGGCGTGACCAGAGCGAAGAAGCTCAGGCACCCGCCCAGCGCCGGGCCCACGAAACGCTTGCACTCCAGCGGCGCAGACTCCTCCAGGTCTTTGGTGAGGCGGGTCAGGTCCTCGTTGGAGATGCTGTGCTCCGAGGTGCCGGTGACCACGGTGGTGGTCTCCCCCCAGTTATCATCCTGYGGGACGAAAACTAGGGTCAGAGGCAGTTTACACCTGCTTTGGATGTTTTCATCCATTAAATGGACGTTATTAGCTGTTATCAGTCCCATAGAATGGCTTCAGACTGTCAGCTSGTTAATATGAGGCATAAAACCACTAAGGTTAGTTTTAGAGAAAATGACATGGGCTACRATAAAGTAGACCAGACTCCGGCGGTAGCAGATTGTTGCATTCCAACATATATGGCACTGGTAACCCACTAGGGGGCACTGTCGGGACAGTCTGAAGCCATACTATTGGACTGATAACCGCTAATAACGTCCATTTAATGGACTGATAACATCCGAACYGGCTGCAGTTTATCAACACGAGGTTCCTCCAGCTCCCCACAGAAAACACGCCTCTTCTTCATGTGAAGAACGTCAGCACCTGCTCGTTGTCTGCTGACAGAAAACAAAAGACCACTTTTCAAACCATCAACAGCTCTTACGCTGATGACATCAGACAGCTGCTGGGGTCTCGGCAGAGCAAAAAAAAAAAGGTTAAAGTTCAACTCCAGGCTAAAGCTGAGCTACGACAACAAAATAAACGCAGCACAAAAATCGAAGGAAAGTAGTGTTTGGTATAGGGCCGGTCGATATGGCTGATAGAAGCGTTTCATATCGGTCGATATCAATAATCATTGATTAGGTTTTTGTTTTCTGTTTGAAATAAAGACCAGCAGAAAAAAGGCTGATGATGACGTGACTTTTTCTCTTTTATCCTGATTCGTCCACAACTTCCTCTTGAGCTGTTGCTCTCATTTTCTCCTTTCACTCCACTTCGTTCTTTTTWTTTTTTTTTAARCAGTTATGAGTCACAGCAGCGAAACATGACACTGATGCTGCTACAGGTTGTTGCTAGCTTATCAAAGAGTGCCTTCAACCATGCTGGRCTTCAGCTGCTGGTTAGCTTCAGTAACCTGATGATGTTGGTTGATTATAAACTCTGCAGGTTAAGTATAAAGCTMATAGAAATGTGTTGCCGTCAAACGTCCAATCACATTTTGTTAAGAGAGRAAGCTGCTATAATTTGAAGGGATTACAATGTTTGTTAAACTAAAAAATCAGAACAAATTTGAAGGACAGATGCACTTCAGTAAGACTGTGGAATGGTCTGGAAAATAACTATAAAAGGTATTGGATCAGTAAATTCCTTTAAGAAAACGATTAAGGAAGAATTGTTTAAGAAATATGAAATTGTTTAATTTGTATTAGTTACTGTTTGAGGAGTTTGAATTTTTTTTTTTTGGTTTATCATTGTTTGATTTTTTTTTTAAGGAGGAGGTGCAAGAATTTTTTTCTTCTGCTGCCTTTCATTTTGTTTTATTTGTATTGTTTTAATGTGTGAAATGTCTTGTTTGTTTTTTTATGAAATTAATAAAAAATAAATAAATGTTTGTTGTTTCACGTCTTTATCGCGAGATATATCATTATCCATTTATCGCCCAGCCCTAGTTTGATATATTTCTTTGTTGTGTGATCTTTGATATTTCTTGGTGATTTTCAGCTTCAGCAGCTGATGTCCAATCCAAGTCAGTTCGTAACTTTTTTTTACGTACGTAAATTTCATAAACGTCCGTAAGATTCCAAACAATATTATTGTTTATCGTAATAATTGCTTAGACCAGGGGTGCCCAAACATTTTCCCCGAGGGGGCCAAAATGAAAATCTATCCAGAGCTGCGGGCCAAATGCAGTTATATAATACATGAAATACAAATACTTTTTAAAGTAAAGTCCTTTATTTTAACCATTAAGCTGTGCAATGGCCCTCTTTTGTTTTAGTCTGTGCACTTGGAGAAAGTCTGTCATACTCTCGGGTAGCAAAGGCTCATGGGACGTTTCATAAACTGATAAAATATGAGTTTTTGAGGCCTTATAAAGTGTGCAAATCTACATGCCGGGTTAAATCTGATCTAAATATTTTTGTTGTCATTTCATGGTTCTTGTTAAATCCTAACAAACCAAAGATATGTCAGCACAATGGCTGAAAACTACCTTCACTACAGCCCTTTAATATAGCCATTTGACCAATGGAAATACTGTGTTTCTACCTATAGGATAACAGGTTACAACCTTGTAACTTTGGCAACTGTTGGTGGGCCAAATCAAATGGCTTGGCGGGCCAAATTTGGCCCGCGGGCCCCACTTTGGGCTCCTCTGGCTTAGACAATTTATCCTCCAATAAATCTGTTATTGTGACAGGAATAGTATTTAGTATAAAGTAGGTGATTTTACACCTATTCATGTTCATGATGCGTAAAAAAATAGTCAACTGTATTTAAGGCCCTGTCACACTATAACGTTTTAGACAACTTATGAGATTTCTTTATGTCTAAATTACTAATAGAAGTTATATATTTGATCAGTTTGTTAGCATTTCAGTGTGTACACAACTTAAAGAGGTTTCCAGTTGATGTTTTTAATTCCATCTTCAACGTAGACGTCCTTAAAATTTTCACAAGTTGGCATAAGTTGTCTAAAACGCTGCAGTGTGACAGGGCCTTTAGATTTGTAACTGAGCATTAAAAACAGTGAGACGGACCCGGTCGTCTCCACGGGTCGACTCTGCATCAAGAAGCGGCTCTGCAGGCGTCTGTATGGTGACCGATTTGTCTCCACGGCTGCTGCTGTCTCGACTCTTGGAGCGATGGCGGTCCCTTCGATCCCTGAGAACAAAAGCACAACGACAGACAGTTACTGGCTGTTCCTGTTTCCTCTCACTTCCTGTAACCTGATCAAGACTGGGTTCTGTCACCCCACTGGATGCAGTTAAACGCTGGGAGTAAGGGTATAAAGTCTTGGTGTTCCTTTTCTTATTTTCTTAAAACTACTGGTCGTTGTTTAATTTTTTTCTTGTCCTAAACAGGGTTCCTACAGCTTAAAACAAGCTAAGACTTTTTAAGACCTCTTTAATGCCACTTGAAATTTATTTTAAGACCAATTTCACAAAAAATACAAAAAAAAAATCAAAAAGAAAAGATTAAAGTGAGATGAGATGCATCAGGACAAACCACCACCCCAAAAAATAACTTAGCAACAAATTTACCCAAATATTTATTTTAACAAAGCAGAATTTTGTTAACTTTAACAAAACAATTTGAAAGGTATTCAGTAAATTATTTTTAAAAACTAAATAAATGTTACCAATTATTTAAAAATTTGAGATGAATTACAATAATCCTGTTCAGCTCCAATGTTTTTTAAGACTTCTGAAAGATTGATTTAAGACATTTTAAGGCCTTATTTTTGGAAAGATGAATTCAATGGGCCTCATGCAAGAACATGTTCGTATTCTTATCCTAAATTTCTCTTACTTTTGTTCGTACAAAGGGTTCGTACGAACATGTCACGTCAGATTTGTAGCAGTAACTTGGATTGGAATGTCAATACTCCAAACTTTGGCCACCACATGACTCTGCCCATGTTTACAAGAAAAC